ACAATCTACCGATTTATTTAGGTAGATGTCGAACTAACATCCCTTCAAGTTATACAGGATTATTTCCGTAGTTATTTAATAATATATTTTAAAGATTTTAGTTTTTCAAGTAATATTTTTTTTATTTGTTACATATAGCCATGGACTTGCATTTGACATGATATAACACTAACATAAAACTTATAATACTTTTTGAATTATTAATATAAATATATTTGAATTGTATTGAGGCAATATAAAATCAAAATAAAATTTGGCCTTTGATCGATAAATTGAATTTGTGAATTTTTTTTCCTAGGCAATATCGCCTTACAGCCTATAAGTGGTTTTTTTCTGGACCAGAGGAGAGGAAGGGGGATTATTGCCTGGGTTACAGAAGGTTCAGTTTTATTTTATTTTATTTCAATTTGGTCTTACGGAGTTTGTGGATCCACTAAACCATCGAATTCCTCTCGTATCCAAACTTTAAAATTCAAAATTCTTTATAAAGTCTTCAATGCTCCTTACTTTGTTACGAATGAAATAATCCATAACGATATGAATGTTCCATGTGTTTTCGATTTGGTCCAATCCTATCATTCCATAATAAAATTCAGAACCATCCTAATTCTCTCGTTTTTAACCTCTCTTCCTCCTATAACTCCTCCTGATAACTCTACGAGGCGTTTGAAAAGAAGATGGCCTCATGATATCCTAATTTAGATACTTTATTAGAGTGCTATCAATGGGTAAATTCTCTATAAGTCTTGTCATGTGTACATACGTTAATACATTGTTAAAATCCATGAATAATAATAAAAAAAATTAAAAAATCTTTTTTCTCCTTTACCTCGACCCTTCGAGTAAACGAGGTGTTTCTCCGAGCCAGGACAGAGGACGGATCAATGAAATAGTTAAATGTCCACATCACTGGGACTCGAACTCATTATCTTCTTGTTATCAGTATTCTAAGCCATGCGTCCAAAGGTTTGTTTGTACCTCTAAAACAAACCTCCTTTTCCCTAACGAGTGATGAAAATGGCAAGGAAGTGCGTTAACAAAATTAATATTTTGGGGGGTAAATTAGTATTACTGGTTGTATAACCTCACTTTACTTACCTAATTTACCGTCAAAATTTAGTTGTTAACATTTAAAAATTAAATGATAAGATATGAATGAAAATATTTTGATTCTATAAGTTTTTATTTTGTACAAGAGCAATAACATCAGGAAAAGATAATTTCTTTATACTTACCCACTAAATTATTTTAATTGAAGGCCAATAAATGCAAAGCCTCGTGCAGTTAAGCAAAATAAAGGTGGTCCTCCTGCAGCCTCTGATCCGTACAAGCATATCGTCTAACTCTAGAATGCTGAGATAACGCCTCACGAATCGACCACCGCGGCCTTCCAAATTTCGAAATGAAACTTAATTCAATTAATAACAAAAGTCCCCCGTATCGGAACCACCGGAGTAACCAGCGGTTAGCCAATTGACAGACTACATTTACATAGGGCCTAGCGGGTAACGAAAGCTGAGAGCATTGTGCGGGATCAAGGTGAGCTGATTCGTGATATTGTTAGATAACAAACAGACTCCAACCCACGACTTATCGGCTGCTCTAGATAACTACTTACCCCCTTCCTTACACACACTAGTCATCAATATTTTGCGAAAGGCGTTACGAAAACCTCACATTTTTTTTCGGCGCCTTTCGATCTTGAGGACCTTTATAGTAATCTCCTGCATACCGTTTGAATTATAATGATTCTTTCTTCGTAAAGAGAAGTATCTAATCTATCTAAGATATCTATCTAAACTAGATAAAGTATCTAGATCTATCAAAAAGTAGTCATAAATCTTTTTTTTTCAGTCTGCAGGATTTAATGAAATAATTTTTTTTTTTTTAGAAAAAACATTTTGTCAAATTACAAAACCCTAGTAATAGCTCATGCACTCTCTATGTACAGCAAAACAATAATACTAAAAGGAAATGTATACAAACCAAAATAACAAATTAAATCCACTCATGCTCCTGAAAAGAATTTTACACGTTTCATTCTAGAAAATTTTACTGACATCCACTGTTACAGTCCCTAGCTCAAAATATTAGGTTTAACGAAATTACGAACTGATTTTATCTTTTCTAATAAAAGGAAGTGTCAACTTCTTTTTTTTTTTTAAATCTTCGTGTTTGATATTCATAACAAAATTTGTATCTAAGCAAATACATTTTATTGTATAAATAGTAAATATAAACCGTTTTCATAACATAGATATATTAGTTGGCCTGTAACAAGTGACAATAAAATATATAAATTAAATACAACGTTTTATGAGATGAAGGAATTCATTTTCATTCGAAATAATAAACCGAAACTTTGAAGTTATGCGTAAACAATATTTTGTTTCCTTCATAACATTTTTTTCCTAATTCTTATGGTATGTACTTAATTTTCCCGCCTGAAAAAGGAGATAATCTTCAAAATGACTACTGGATCAATGAATATATTAAGAATTAACATGATAATTAATTATTAGACTTTCTGCTAAAAGAAACATCTTTGTGAAATTATATAGAAAGATAATTCAATGCTGAACTAGTTCCCATAGAAACTAGTTTACTTTTTATTAGCTTTTCAAACATCGAAAGCTTTAAATCTCCTCGAATACTTCAGTTATTAATTATATCACCGTATGTGTTCTTTTTTTTATATATTTATGTTTAGCTTATTTTATACATAGTTATTGTATATATATGTTTAGCTTATATAATACATAGTAATTGTATATATATTGTATATACATATATGAATATATATATATATATATATATATATATATATATATATATATATATATATATATTATTTTTCTGTACACTCAAAACACTATTATAAATGTCCTTTGAGACGAACTATAATATTTTCAATAAACAAGTTAGAAAAAGAAGAAATTATAACACTACTTAAATTGTCTATTGTATATACATATATAGATGAATAGATATAATATTCTTAGAATATTATTAACTTAGCTTTAGTATTTCTGGCATTAGGTTAGTTCTTTTGTTTATATACATTTATTTTATTTTATTGTATTTATTTTTATTTTATTTTATTGTATTTATTATTATTAAGTTTCTGTATTATTATTTTTTTTTTATTGTAAATAGAGTGTGAGTGTGCTTTCTCTGAACACTATTATAAATGTCCTTGATGTGACAGAATGTAATATTTCTAAATAAACAAATATATTTCCAAAATTGGTAAAAAAAAAAAAAAAAAAAAAAAAAAAAAAAAAAAAAAAAAAAAAAAAAAGTATTTCTGGTTTATTTTTAAAAAAAGTTATCCTTTTTTTCCGAAAAGATTATTGATTCGAATTATTAAAAACAATTTTTTTAAAGTATGTTTACAGCCTACGGAAATTTTACTTATACCTAATAACCCATATGAAAATTATTATAAAATAGCTAAAAGGTCTTTAATTTAATATCATTCTCGTTGGAATATTTTTTTTTTAATTTGTGAATTTGTTGCTGAGAAAGCGACAAAGCACGCACAAAAACTGATACGTATCTAAACGCCCGCTTCACAAAAATATGAGACAACTAAAAGCCACGCCTTAACCAACTACACACTTTCCAATCCAAAATATTATACTTTACAAGCTCCTCGTATCATTTCTGTTAGTATTTAATTTTTTTTCTCTATATTTATGATCTTTGAAACAGGGGATGGACAAAGTCTTAAATAAATAATAAATAAAGTCATTATAACGATTTCTGTACTCTCTTATTCCTCAAATATTATTATTAATCACTGAAATAACCATGTAGCTCAAAAAGAGACATATTGTGATTACGATATAAATGGAAAAATCCAAGCTATATATTCATGAATCTCTAACATACAGATAAGTAGTTAATCAGTCATGGCTAATAGTTAAGAGTAACTAATTTAAATTTATTTGCTTTAACTACATGAGCGCGGTAATAAAAGTGAACAAAAATATGAGACATATGCAATAATTTATTAGTCATGTGATATGAAATTATATATATATACAAAAAAAATGTGATTGTAATACATTACAAATAAATAATATGATGGAATTAGTACATTACTTTTTCATACCGCTTATCCGGATGGGATATTAACGTAACTGTAAATTATACAATTTTATAGAAGAGACAAAAAATTGAATAATTAGAATTATTAATATGGAAATCACATATGGGTAGCAAAAAATTTAAGCAGAATAATTGGAATTATTAATGGTAAAGTCACACCATTTTTAAAATAGATTGTACAAATTAATTCTTTTCTATCCATTCAAATTTTTCTTATGTTATACTACGATGTGGTTTACATTAAATTATTTTTCCACTCCTTCTCATAATTAGTATTTGTGTCAGAAAAAATGTTTCTCCTCTTTCATACGTCTACCTTCAAGGGTCAAATTGTATGCCCAAACAGTCCAAATTTTATTGGGTAAATAACAAAATATATATGTTTATAGTAGTTTTATTGATTTTTAATAATTTAAATTATCATGAATCAACTGAATAATACAATAAATGTCAATTAATCAGGAAAATCACACTTTAACAGAAAAATGTAATATAAAAAATAATTGATTAATATTTTATCATTATCCTTTCTTTTTTTTTAAATAAAATTAGAATTTTTTCAAAATTAAGCCAAGTCAGAGCTTCGAAAAACCTTTTATAAAACTGTTAAATAATAATAGAAACTATATATTCAATATGTCAATATGATCTTTAAATATGTCAATTAATTTTCTTAAATAGCTACTTAATTCTAAAACAATGATAGATATTTAGTATATGCATATTTCAAAACAATTTATTTGATTTTTTTATGCTTTCCCATCCATCTGCTTGTAACTGATTTTTTTTTCTTTTTACGAAAATAGTCATTATCCTTTTGAAAAAGTAGGTCCTAGGTTATTCATCTTAAATAGGCTTCCTTCAGTGTTTTTATAAATATATTTTTCATGGATTCTTCATATTCAAACATCAGATATGTTTTTGTGCTAAATGTGAAAGTATTTAAGAAAATGGTACTAGTACATTTACTTGGTTAATCTATTATAAGAAACACTCAAAATATAAGGGTAGATTTAACCTAATCCTAAATAAATAAATGTAATACAGACCATAACTTTTTTTCCTTCCAAGAACTCGTTTATCTCATCAAATATTACAAACATGTGATCTAATTCCAAGGAATTAATATTCATTTGTCCACCCATCGATTAAAGTTCTGAGAAAGCTGTTAAATAATCCTCGAAATTTTCTATTAGCCGCATTTTGGTAAATATTCAGGAGGCCCCGCGTCGGAACCTGATTGAATTGTTAATACGTCTTGGGGTCTATTAGCATTCAAGACGCGCGTGATGCGAGGGATATCGCTATTTGTTTGTGTTAGGGCAATTTACGAGGGTACAAAATCGTATATCAAAGAAATATGTAATAAATAAATTGATTACATATCGGTTCATTGAAAATGCTTGCGATTCTTGTGTCGATCGCAATAAATCATCATCTGGAAACTCTCGTTTTTGGGAGGCCCGTTACAGGTTGGTTAAGTAACTTGGTTTTTGCATCACGAAAAAAAAAAATGTAGAAAGCCTCAACTCTCCATTTAGGACAAGATGATGACAGTGAAATGCATATTTTAACAAATTAAACTCCATAATATATGTTTGTATATATATATATATATATATATATATATATATATATATATATATATATATATATATATATATACTTTTTTTTTAATTACTAAACTGGCATTTTTATTTTACAGAACAGATTTCTGTATCATTATACATATTTATTTATTTATTATTATTTTTTACTCTAGAAGTGGTTCAGATCTTTAAATCATACAACACACTTTTCTGGGATGTTTCTTTTCCTCAACGGATTCAGTTAAATTCTTCCTTGTTGAATGAATTTTTCACAAGAGAAAATCAGAGGATGTCAAATGTTATTTATTTATTGTTACATTCCGCATCTACCCGATCGGGTCATTAGCGGCTTTAGATGTAATCAAATTAGGTGTACAAATTTAATGTCTTTTATAAATTCAAACACTTTTTATATCTTTTCTTCGTCATCTGAAAGTGCTTCAGCTATGTTGGAAGGTATATTATGTTTTGTTCTGATGTCAGAGTATAGTCTGTAAGTTGTTACAATGTGTTTCAGTGTAAGTGGTGTGTTGAATGTTTTACAATATGGTGGTTCCAGGCCTCTCATTAAGTAGCCATGGGTAAAGGCTGCATGTCCAATTCCAAGCCGAGTTAAAATTGTTTCTTCTTTCCTGTTCTTTCTGAAAGAGGTCGTCCACGGTTTGGTATCTTTTTTGATTTCTTGCAATTTATTCGTAGATTGGTTCCACTTGAATTGTCATTTTTCATTTAGGATTATTTTGCATTCCAATCTTCAGTCAGCAGTGGTCGTTAAATTGAACATTGTGGTTCCATTAGTTTTTCTTCTTGCCAGGTTCGCAGCTCTGTCTGCAGCTTCGTTCCCAGATATGCCACAATCTGAGGGTGCCCATGCGATGACGATGTCTCTGTCCGACGACTCCTTCTTTTCCCAGAGGCAGTTTTTGATTTTCCTGGAAATGGCATTGTCGGCTTTCCCTTCGGCAATGGCCAATAATGAGCTTAAAGAGTCTGAAACTATAAGGCCATTTTTTAATGTTTTTTTTTTTTGTTAGTATTAACAAAGCCTGATATATGGCGAATAGTTCGCCTGTGAAGACGCTGTTTATTTGGGGCAAATTGAATTTGAGACACTGGTCTTTCAGTATTACTGCACATCCTACCTCACTATCTGTTTTTGACGCATCTGTATAAAGGGCTGTGTGTCCGTGGTATTTGTGTTTCATTTCTGTAAATAAGTGTTTTTTGACGAATTGGTCGTCGTCAGTTTGTATTTTCCTAGAAAGAGACGTATCTGTTTTTATGAAAGAGTTATTCCATTGGTAGAATAAAGCGTCGTCTAATGTGAACTGTTGTTTGATAGACCACATTTACGCTAGGTATGATCAATTCTAATTATAAACTGGTAACCCCATTCAGTGGTATATTCATAATTTGTTTGTATATATATATATATATATATATATATATATATATATATATATATATATATATATATATATATATATATATATAAGAGATGAAGTATATGTGTTATAAGTTAATAAAAAAGAGATTTTATAGGAATTTTTATTTCAAAAAGTCATTAAGCAACATTTCATAAAATTAAATCATTGAGAGCTTTGATGAATTTTTCTTTCGTGAAATTATAAGATTGTGCACTGTGATGTAAATATTTTTACATAATATATGATATGTAATAAGGTGAATTCTTAAGTTGGAGAACTTTGTTAGTCAACAATAATTGTAGGAAAACTACGGAAAACCTGGTCTCCCGCGTTTCGGCAGTGTTGCTCCCACAATATGATCACACAGGTTGCATGAAATTTCCTCTTGTAGGTTCTAAAACAGAAAACATCAACAGACGTTCGGTGATGAGAGATTTTTTAATAACAAATATACCAATGACATACCAATTATTCAATAAAAAAATATATGGATTCATTCTTGAATAGGGCATACTATGGTCAATTAATTTAACAATCATTTTCCATAAAATTGACATATTTCAAGTTCTCAGATAAGAATTCCTCAGCGTAATTGATTTCGTTAAAGGCGTTAGTAATCATCGCGGGATTAAATACCACAACAAATTTTTTATTAAAAAAAGAAAAAAACTTTTTGTAATAGATGTTGAAAACAGTGATGAGAAAAAACGAAAAAAAGATATAGTTATAGACCATGTCCTTTTAGAATAATTACTGAAATCACACTAGGATTGAGCACTTTTTGAGAATCGCCCTTAAGGGTCTGGCTCAGCTTACTCACAAAAACAAATATTAATCAATAATAATACATACCTATATATTTTTCATCAATGGTTGATTTCAAAATTCCCTTTCTACACGTGGATCCTTCAGTGCTCCGGAACACTCATAGAATCAATGAAAAAAAAAATATATATATTTCTATTTTGGAAGAGCTTCACGTTTAATAGCTTTGAATCCTCTCGTGACAATTTACAATGGTTGTTACATATCAATTATTCGATATGTAATATGAATCTCACATGTGTTGTATGTGTGAATTTTCCTTTCAATTAAAAGTTCCTTGTGAATTAAAAGTAAAAATTTCAATTAACGTATTTATACATTATTAATCAATAAGCTTTACTAATAGTTTTGTGTTCCTACCGAGTAACAGAATTTTCTTCTAGTTATCCCCGGACTGCTCAATGTTTGACTTTAAGACACCTGCAGATTGGAAGAGGACATGGATTATCGAATTCAGGTTGATACAGATCGATAAAAATTTAGGATCTAATCATTTTTAACATGGCGCTAGGTGCACGATGCTGGAATAATAATCAGGTTCTCCAATCAGAGCTCGATGTCCTATCTGACGTTACTGGAGATCTGTATCAGGTCTGGTTTGATAGCTCTCCTTCATGGATAAGTGTAAATTCTATTTTATTAGTCGAATCTTAAAATAGTACCATCGAGTATCCATTAAGATATCAATTGGTAAGATAGCTGTCTTCATATTTTTTTTATACTGTCACGTTTTGAGATATAGGCGTGAGAAAGTTGCGTTATTATAAGAAATAGAGGTGGATGGAATAGAATAAAATTGCTTAGAGATCATTTAGTTACTAAGTCACAAAATCTATATTAAAAAAATATGTAAATAAGATTAATGATTGTGATATATCTTTCACATAGATCGTACTTCAGATGGACAATTCTCGAATATATTTTTTTTTTCACAAGGTCTATAACGTTAAACTCCTATAAAAAGTTTCGATTTCGAGTGTAATACAATTTTTGAACTTCACATGTAAACTTCAAATAGCACTTTTTGAAGTCGGAAAATAATACCTTGTAATCGTGAAATGTTCTATTAATTATTTAAAGCCAATAAAATAATTAATAAACGCGCGCGTGCGTGTGTGTGTGATTAAAATTAAAGGGATATTTGAATTTTACATATTTCATTCTATGTTTCCAATTAAAGATTTTAAGTATTTAACTGTGTAAATATTTATACGATTACATTTTTCGGTTAGGCTCTCCCTATGAGTATGTATTCAATCTGAATTTCAGCTTTGGTGATTTATTTTAAAAGAGAAAGTATTTCTTTGTCGTCCAAACTCAAAACCAAATTTCAAATAGTACCTTGTGACTTGTAGCTATTCTTTGATTTATATCATCGATGTTATCGATTTATGTATCCTGATCAACAGATTAAATCTTACGAGGCTTTAGCAATGTCTCCGAATAAGATAGGGCAGGCTGTATATTACCAGGTATAGGTATCTGTTAATTGATTGATTGGCCCACTGATGGCTAATAATAGTTCTCTTACTGTGACCAATCAACTTGAGACCATTCCGAACTAATTCCATTATCTGATACAACCTTGCGTCAGCGGTCATTAAAAACGTGTTAAACGCTCCCTTAAAATATATCGTTTCGTTTCTTCTTCCTCGATGTCATCCCGACGATTAGTTCCTATCTCTCCGGTCCACGATAAATCCTCGATCCTTTCCCTGATCCGCTCCGGCTTTGACATATCGGAAAACGATCTGACGATGATTAAAATACGTAACCGGGTCATTGCACATTTATATTCACCCGGCGTCGCGGAGGGATGAGCCTATAATTTGCCTAAGTGAGCCTTCCAAATAATCGGCCGTTATTTAACGTTCCTCTCAGACTAATAAGTTGCTATTTAGCCTACCGTTCCACATAAATTTTTGATAAAGCTGGGAGCGGATTTATTTATTGTGGGCGTGTCTTCGCTGGCCAGAAATCTGAACGCTTGATAAAGCTTCAACCACCGTTTTATAGAGATCAATGGCGGCATTTCTTCAGATGCTAACTAAAAGAAATCTATATCGAAAGATCCATCTACATGTAAGGAGTTATATACTTTCGACGTTTATTTAATAAATTAAAATGAAAATATTTAGCAATATAGCATCTTTTTTCATAGGTTTCTTCATAAATTGCTGAAAGGTATAATTCATAGGTGGGTTCTTTTTTATCATTAGTTTGTGATAAGGGAGGCCGCAATAATTTTTGTGGAAGTTCCACAATTTTCTATATTTTCCGTTCTGGCCTTTTTTTTTTTTTTTTTTTAGTTCTTTCCCTTCCTCGCCGTTAAGGCTATACGGGGTTTTCCCGGATTCGAACTCGTGACTATTTTAGTATCATTTGATTGATATATCAGGTTGCCGGGCAACGGCGGTGCTGTGCACACGCTTTAGCCCATTCCCTACCCTTCTTTCCCTGAAGAAGACTTGCTTGGGTCGAAACGTTGGCTTATAATAAAATAGTTTTGCCACTATTTAGCCTATTTACGACCGCCACCCCGGACCATCTCCTTCCTTTATTATGCTATTGTCAACTATTAAATATTCAATAAAATAATATATATTCTTGAAGAAAATTTTATTATTAAAAACTTTTTTCATCACGACTTTCTCACGAAAGAACCAATGTTATGTTAAGCAATAGAAAGTTAGCTAGTCAAATACAGTAAAAAACGTGAAGTAATATTTTTTTTTTTTTCCACATTACCGATATTTAAGGACCGATGTCTTGGAAACTAAGTGAGGTAGCGAAAAAAATGTATATATTGAAAATTTCTTCAGCTTTAATTTTATATAGAACATTTTTGTCTATGCGATGAATAGTTTTCCTAATAAAAGCGTAAGCCCGAAAAAGAGCAATAAACACGAGGATTTTTTTTTTTTCAAAATTAGCTATAGTTGAGCTATAGCTAATTTAAAAACGCTGCAAATTATTTCACAATGGTTTATTAATTTCCAAACAATAATACATCTAAACATTACCTTCCGAGTTACAAAGAAAAAAAAAACAAGAGGTGATTCCAATTATTGGACTAAACTGTTTTTCTTTAATCATTAGTAATATAGTAGTAATAAAAAAAATAGCACTAGTTCAGTAACTAATTATTTAAAATTTAAAAACCAAACCAAGGATATAACTTTTGGGGTAGAACAAAAAAAAAAAAAAAACCCGGAGACCATATCTTTGCTCCTAATTTGTCCGATTTTAACGATTCTTTTTTTGTTTTTTAGGAAATTTCGTAAACTTTTAAAAAACCATGTACATTATATTACAATATACAATATAAAAACT